GTCAAAATGGTCAGGGAGTGAAACGATGATTCGAGCTGATGAAGATCAAGATACTTTGAATTATGACGAATTGGAAAAATTGATAAGTCATAAGAAATTTGTGGGCTTGACTTCAATCCCAGTCAGTTTTCTTTTCTTCCTCTGCTCATCTACCTTAACGTTCTACACGTCCTCGTCTCAATCTTTTCGATTTTCATTATCGTTTTCGAGCCTCTTCTCTCTCTTTATCACCCGGAAAGGAAAGACGAGTTTCCTTTTCACCTCCTGAGACCCTTACCTATTCTTCTACCTCGTCTCATCCATCCTCGTACCAATTCGAGTCCCGAGCCGACCTCGTATACCTCTGGGTTTTATTTCCCCCCTCTTTTCTAAGCAATAACCGTACTGTCCCTCCCTCTCAATTCCGCCATCGCTCATGTTGCTCCTGCTGCAGCAGCCGCCGCTACGCTTTTTTCGCCGCCTTGTACCTGTTCCTACTCGTCCGATTTCTCATGGTTTTTTTCCGCTCTCTCCATCCACTCTTCCTACTCTTTGAATTTCCAAACCGACTCTTGTTTCTTCCGCCCTTGTGTCTGCATCTCTTTCTCTTCACCTGTCCTCGGACCGATATCTTCACCTATTTCTCTCATCTTTGGGCTCCTCGTACCGACTGTGAAACCTACTTCTCTCGTCTTTGGTTCATATTCCTTCACCTTATCATCATCATTTCTCGCTTCCCATCTCCGTTCATACTTTCAATCTTTGTCTTTTCAATCTCTTCTCTTCTCTTCTCACTCCTTTTGATTTTCCAGCCCATTGGATAACGTCTCTATTCGGTCACTTGTCTTGTTGAGTTCAAAACAATACTCTTCCCCCTTTTCTTCCCGTTAGTACTTGTATCCCATCTTCCCTTTTCTGGGAATGATGAAAGCATCTTGACATGACTTTGATTCACCGTCTCTTCTCCCCCTTGCCCGAAATCAACAAATGACGCATGTTCTTGACATTTCCAACACTCGCTCCAGCAGTCAATATCGAGTCTAAATGTTGAATCCACTGAGTCGTAGTCCTCCTCGGCCTCGTGCTCCTCCTCCGCCACCACGATTCCCACTCAAACCCAGATCCCACCTGCACCCTTTCGACCTATGACAAACAAAATCCCACATGTACGCTTTCACAGAAACAGGATAACGATCAACAATATTGGGTATACGCGTCGTGCCCTCGAGTCGAAACGGTTTCCATTTATCTATCGACCGTCTCGGAGCAAATGTTGCAGCGTGCTGAACCGGTACGTCATTTCTGTCTTTGTGTTTCTTTCCACTTTGTTACCTTTTTGTTTTGTTTTTCCTGTCTCCCCTTCATCTTCTTGGTTCCGTACGGTTCGCTGTCGTGAGGAAAAGGTAAAAGATACTAGATACTTGTTTCCTTTTTCCATCTATTGCTTGCTTTGTGCACAATAGCTCTTTTCTGTAATTGACCTTTGCTTTTTCTCACGAATTTTTTACCAATCCTCCGGTATGATTGCCTAATTCATTTTCATTCATCAGCCTCTCTCCTCCCCCTCCCTCCAATCTTGGACCCATACGTACGTTCCACTCACCCGTTTGTATTTCTTCGTCTTGATCTTGTTCCTGCACAACTTGTTCTGCCTTTATGCAACCTGCTCTTTCCTGGAATGATCAGTCTGAACTTTTTTTGCTTTTTTGTCTTGTCTTTCTTTTTTAATTGGAAAAATTTACTTTCCTCACTAACAGATCGTCGATCCTGATTATCCTCATGACCATGACGACTTTGTCGTCTCTCACTCTCCAAAAAGCTTTTTCTGCACTCGACTGAATTTCTAACGATCCCCTGAAATCCCAAACATCGTTCTCATCTCCAATCGCCGGTCTCTCCCTAACGTCCAACCCATAATCCATCAGATCCCACCTACCCACTCATATACCCTTGGGGAACCATACATACATCCTCACTCTGACCCGGTGACCTTCCCTCGCTTCCAACCACGTCAACGATACGTTAGACGCTAAACGAGGCCAAGGGATCACCTCGGTTGGACTCGTGTCGCTTCCGTGGACCGTTTCTCTTGAGCCTCCCCAACCCTGGCGCGTCCCTGTTCCCTCCCACTGACTTTCGAGCTGCAAGTCATGGTGTATAATCAACTTTGCCACGCCGGTTCACAAGATACACGTGTCGCCTATCTTTCATCAACTGTGGTGCGGTCGGTTGAACTGTGCAGTGGTCGGTGTGCCCCGATCCCAATTAGAAAAAATGGTCTTGTTGCCCGAAGTGGCTCTCGGGGTGGTACAAGATGTCGATCGAGTGATTGAGACTTGGATGATGGAATTTGTCTGACTCAAGGGGGACAAGATACTACACATGGACCACACTCTTGAAACCAAGTGAGCTTTTCAATTACTTTCTTTTTCTTTCTTCCTTTGTCATCTTTCATTTCTTTCACCTGGTCGTACGTACGTACGCTTTTATTCCCCCCCCCCCTGCCCAACTATACTCTCATCTCAATTGTTGAGAATTGATCCATCTCACCAGAACACCCCTCCTCCCCTTTTCGAGCGGGATCTGTCGTTCATCCGAGCTTTTCAACTCCCGACTCGACTAACGAGTGACCCTACTTTTTTGAATTTTTCTACGAAGCCATCGTCCAAGCCTTTCGACGTACATGTATTCCACTCGGCTCGGCATGTTTGACCGTGATTTCTCTCCGAGGAACTGGTGCATCATCACTCTCCCCTTCGCCGACCCACGCTTGATCGACTTGCTCACGGATACCAGGACACTGTCACCGTCGCTCCAACATATACATGTCGTTCACCACAAGCCATCTCACCACCGGTGGACTTTTGGTCATGGCTTTCCTCCACCATCAAATCCGTGGTTCACAACGACCGAGTTGGAATGCGCATGGTCTCAACGAAATATATGAGGTATGTGGTCATTTGGGTTCTGAGTCAAGTACCCACCTCTGTCCTGAACATTTGACGAGGTCTGTCTTGTTTCTGGTTTGGAAAATGATCCCGAGATGGGGGGTTTGCTCGTCGTCTGGAGTGAGAGTAGGTCTTAGGAAGTTGGAGAACAGTGTCAAGTCAACTAACTGTCATCACGCACATGTACACATGTTGAATAGGGATCAGGGATTAGGGGTTGAGGGGGGAGATAAGGGAAAGACAGAGAGTATCTCTCTTGGTTTATTCACAAAGGTTTGTGGGTAACTAGTCTCATTATACCTATTGTACGATCGGGACATGGAAATTTCACACCTTTGATAGTAGTTAGTTACCTTTTACATGGATGTATCGTACATACGTATCCTTGCTTCTCACATTGCAAATATCAAGTATAGATATTTCCCAAATTACCCGTCGAGATCCGTACAGAGTTCGGTTCAGCTCTATGAATAATTACCTGATCATCTTGTATCTACACGCACCCGACTATAATCATCATAGTAAAGAAAAGCAAACAAAGAAAAAGGAAGCGAACAGATCGAGGGGATATGGTTCATTCAGGAAAAAAAACAAACTAACATAGATGACCTAACCAAAGTACATAACCCAATCTGATCTAAACCCTAATTAAAGTGAACGTTTTTCTCAGTTGATCCTCCAACTCACTGATATTGTACGTTCTTCCATCATCATTACATTATCAAATTCTCTCCTTGCTTCAACCCCTATAACCTTTGATTTCCAACCCCCTGCGCTTGCTATTTCCCCAGAATAACAGAGAACAGTGACAGATTGATTCGAGAACTCAAGGTCTGAATCTTCTCCGGCCATTACATCGACATTGGATCTTTTCAAGCGGGTATTGCGAAACTGATAAAGGTACGTCAGTCTTATCTCCGATCATAATGAAAATGAATATGAGAATGAAATGACACACGAACGAAAACGAAATGAAAAAAAAAACGATATAAAGACGTTATGATATAAACACGAAATCGGATGAAACTGAAGATGAAACGAAACAAAACGAGATGGAATCAAAAGAAGATGAAAAGACGAAAAGACTTACAACTTTTATCCCGACCACGTTTCATCAATCCTATTGGTGAAAGCTGCCTTGTTTCTTCCTCAGACTGACGGAACAGATGAGACCTTGGAATTTGACGTTGCTCTCATGTGTCGAAGAAATCATCTCCTGGGGATGGTCACCTTGTCGTTTGTTCGTGGGACGAACCAAGATATTACGTCTAGGTCTAAATTAAACCAATCGAGGGATCTTTTGATCTCGTTTTGGTAAAACGTTTGACAATTGCTTTTTCTCCCAGTTTCGTTGAGATAGGATTGAGGACATGTCGATGTTTTTTTCAGGCTCAGATGTAGATTTGATGCTTTGAGGTCTGAAACGTAAAGGTAGAAGTAGATGAGATGGGTTTGTGGTTTCCGAGTAAAGAGACGAGCGGGCATGGGCTGTATCAGTTAGATCAGTCTACAAGATTTTCCAACTTTTGA